GGAGCCCGCCGAGAGCGGCTAACATGGAATAGCCCTTAGCCAGGCACGATAGCCGCTCTTTAGGCTGATGGACTCTCGATCCTCCTCCTGTCCCCCCCGCGATCCCGCTCGTCCTCCTCCGCCTGTCACCTCTCGCCTGCGATCCACCTTTCCACCTTGGCCGCGCTCCCTGCGCCCTTACCCCTCGCCGCATCGCAGGACGCGGTCCTGGCTTCTCGCGTCTTTCTGTGTACACATACTCGCTCGCGATATGAAGACCTAACCTTTGGAGCGCGACTTTTGGATATTGGAAAGTTATTTTAAAGATTTTGGGCATATTACTGAGAGAGTAAAGAATGAAATTACATCTTTGAAAATGCAAAAATTTCTTTAAATAATTGTAAAACATTATCGAGGGAGCAGAGAAATGTGTTCGCAAAATGTGCTCTAGATACTAATATTATATTATCTGAACAACCTGCAGCAACATCGGTCAGTTTTGGCCCATGCGCAGGATAGGTCCCAGTGCGCATGCGCGAGAATCCGATTTTCCTACCAACGCTACCTTGATTCCAACATTCGCGATATGAAGATTTTGAAATAATTGTAATAATGAGGACGAAATAATTAATTGAGGAGAAAAAAATTTAATTGAGAAATGAGTTTGAAAATTGAGCAATCACTATTTCTTGTTTAATATTCCTCATTTAATTCTTATTTGTCTTAGCGAAAAGTGACAGCGACATGTTGCGATTTTAATGTTATCGTAAAAGCTGAAGGCCTCAGGCTGCATGTGTTTTTACGATCGCGGAAAGTGGCATTTTAATTTTTGACATTTGTTTTTCATGATCATGAAATATAGACGAAATACAATGATCGGTAATTTTGGAAAAAATAATGATATCAAGATGATACAAAGGCATTTTATAGCTTGAAGTTTCTAGTCTTTAAATATATTAATGTCATAACATTTGCTATTGTTTTACGTTAAGATACATTGAGTTAGATGAAGCAATTGATGCGTTTTATAATTTATTTTTCCGTTAAGTTTTTACCTTAAAAATTTATTTTTATCAAGAATCTGATAAATGCATTTTGAAAATTGAACTTTAATATATCTATTTTTAACTAATATTGTACATTGATTCGTACATCTTTCATGAGCGATCAAAGCGGATAGAACGATTTTTGTTCCAACGTTAGAAACTCGATAAAAAAGATCACATTACAATTTTCCTTTATGCAAGTTAAAGAAGAAAACTTGTATTTTTAAATAGTCTAAATTCTGTTTGTGTACAATTTTTAATTTACGTACTGCAACCTGACAAACTTGATAAAATATTTTTGCATTGAACGGATCTTTTATTAGTTTTTCGGCTTACACCGTGTAAATTAAATATTGCATACAAATAAGATTTATATAGTGTGAAAGTACGAGTCTTCTTCTTTAATTGTAGGAAGATTGCGATACGACCTCTTTTCATCGAATTATTCAATGTTGAAGCAAAACTGGAATTTTGGTTTTGATTGTTAACGAAAATCGAATGGAAATAGATGCAATGAGTATAAAATTCAAAGTTCCCTTTTTAAAATATATTTATCAAAAACTTTGATAAATAACTTTTTGATATAAAAACTTTACTGGAAAATAAGATTGGAAATTGCATGAGGGAAAGAGGGGAGGAGAGAGAGAGAAAGAGATCGCTATTTTTTGTTTAACTTGATATACCATAGCGAAAAACGATGATGATTTGTAATATTAATATTGTTAAAATTTATAGATTTCAAACTGCAAAAAGTGCTCTTTGAACCATCTCAATAGCTCATCTAGCCGAAATTATAACCCACTGATATTTGTCGTAGTAAAATATAGGACGTCTGATCCGTCGTTGATTAATACTACTTTAGAAATTAAGATCCGTCTGACGTTGTTGAATCCTATCACAATTTTAATTTTTTTTTTATTGATAAAATATACATTGCCATTAACTACACGCTTATTTGGCTAAAAGTAAAATATAAATTCTATCTTCTTTGATTCTTATTCAAAGTAAAATATAAATTCTATCTTCTTTGATTCTTATTCAAAAACTTATTTTGTTGTCTAATTGCAAGGACATATGTATAAGTATGCCTTGATATATAATTACTTAATAATTATAATTGCATTGGTTGCTTAACTCGTTTTAAGCTGGCCACACACATCTTTCGTAACAGTAACCGTAAGACGTAACGTAAGAATTGACCAATTACGATCGAATATTCATAAAAATGGTGACCTTACGATTCAATGATTCTGAACATGATTGGTCAATTCTTACGTTACGTCTTACGGTTATTGTTACGGAAAGTGTGACCAGCTTTACTCTACGCGGTTCACAACCTCAATTCTTCGTCGAGGAAAGTGGCGGCTCGTAGCGGAGACTGCGGAATTAAGTGCAACGTATCACGTTCAAAAACATCGAGTCTATTTCCTTAGTACTATTTCTTTAAGGCCACAGAATAACTTATACGTCGTCTACAATGGCAGTAGGAGTAGTAGTAAGAAATAAACAGTAAGCAAATTAACCAATTTCATTCTCACGATTCAAGAATAATCAATTGTGATTGGTCTATTTACTTACTGCTTATTTCTTTGGGCCGTGGCACACAGAAAAACTTAAGCAGTAAGACGTAAGCAGTAAGCAAATTGACCAATCACAGTCGTTGATTCTTGGGCCGTAAGAAGAATCAATGACTGTGATTGGTCAATTTGCTTATTGCTTACATTTTACTGCTTAAGTTTTTCTGTGTGCTACCAGCTTTTGTACTACTCCTACTGCCATTGTAGACGACATTAAGCAGAAAGACGTAAGCAGTAATTAAATTGACCAATCACAGTCGTTGATTCTTGGACCGTAAGAAAAATCAATGACTGTGATTGGTCAATTTGCTTACTGCTTACGTTTTACTGCTTAAAGCTGCGTTCTGAAATGCACTGCCAGTACTAAAAATATATAGTTTATGTTACGTATATTATAGAATTTCAGTACTGGCAGTGAATTTCGGAACGCAACCTTTGTTTTTCTGTGTACCACCTATGGACGTAGTCCATGGGTACATGGTATTACCTATTATGGACTTCTTCGGAATCAATTCCGATCGGAATAATTCCGTTTCCCCTAGAAAAGACAATAGAAATCTAGGAAATAACTGAATGTTTCCGATCGGAATTGATTCCGAAGAAGTCCATAATAGGTACCCTGAAGTTCGTCTCACGAACAACAAAGGATAATGTATTATAATTAAAGTGTATTAATTTTATCTTCTTTATTTAAAGAATGATGTAACATATTATTTCAGTTTATTAATTATTTGAGATCCTCAAACTTTCCTTAAACAAGAACTGAACTTGTATTAATAGTTATTACTTGAAACTTGTCTCACGTCAGATGATCAGATTGTAATTATCAAAGATTGCAAAGAGCTTGATTAATTTATCTTAATTGAACCGTATGATATACGTAACATATTATATATAATCTTGATTCAGAAAAACTCAACGTCTAAATATAAATTTAAGATAAAATATTAATACACTTTAAGTATGATACATTATGTTCATGAGACGAACTCCTGGGCCCTTATTCTTGAAATAGTTGCGTATATGTAAGTTTTACTGCGCAGGTTTAATTATACCATAAAATAGCTGCGCAATGAAAATTATATATACGCAAAAATTTCAAGAATAGGGGCCCTGATCTGCTCCTGTGTTCATGAGACTGCAAAAGCAGGAACAAGAGCAGACCATAGAATATTACAGTTATAGATGAGAGATTATACTATTCTCTCGAATCCAGATCTCACTCGCTCTATTCTCGTTATCGTAAGCACCCGTAGTTTCGAAATCACCGCTACGAGACGCCACCGAGGTCGTCGTAGTACATCTCAACGACAAATCAATCGTATTTTTATTTTTGAATTACGATTCAACAGCAAATTGGAAAACCTTTTTATTTGCAAATATTATAACTCCATAAACTTAAACCCTATGCACCCTGGCAATAGGAATAGGCATTAGCCAATAGGAATAGGGAATAGAAATAATTGACCAATCCGAATTCCTATTCGCTGTTCCTATTGCCTGTTGTCTGGCATTGTGTATAAAGCGTTATTCGTATTTGTATAACGTTATCTTCCAAATCTTAATAGTCATTTTTCCAAAGTTATAGTGTATTAAATTTTACCCTTTTCTGCAGTTCTTTAAATTTTCAGATTCACTTTTTTAATCATTTAAGAAGAACCGGCGACAATATGATAAAAATGTTATTTAAGGATAATGATGTTTATGATATTTGTACATAAAACATAAATTTAATTGGAAAAATGTAATTGTTCTAGGGACTTCTGCTAGAGTCCACTTGGCGCTGTAAACGCTTCGAAGCGCCGTGTAGACCAATCATTATCTTTCTTTGCGAGCTCCAAAACGTTTGCAGATCCAAATAGATCATATTTTTAGATTAACACGCAATGTTTTTCAAAATATAAATTTTCCATAATTCTTTGTCGCATATTACGTAAGAGCTTTATTATTATAATCAAAACGATCTAAAATTATTTGATTTGCTTTATTCTATGCTTCTTTTTTTCGCTTCGATTTGCATTACAACATTTGAAATTCTATTGGCTAGAGTTACTCTAATCTGAGTTTGGCTACAATGCGCGGTTTCGTCAAAATCGTGCAAGAAAGAGAGACATATTTTCAATCTCTCTCTCTTTGTTTATCTTTTCTTAACCTAACCAAATCTGTCATAGGCGTACTGTGATAGGCATATTGTGGGATTTGACGAAACATAGCGGACCAATCAAAAGTTACTCCCTTAAGGTGCGTTCAGATTCTTCATCCGGGTGCACTCTATTACTAGAAACATTATAATATATGTTACATATACTATAGCATTTCTAGTAATAGAATACATCCGGGTGTGGAATCTGAACGCAGCCTTATGGGCAAACTCTGATTAGAGTGACTCTAGTGTTGGCATTCTTGCTGAGCACATTCACAACGTTATGACTGTGCTCACCTTCTACAACTGGCAATCCGCGGTGAAACACGCCGGACTCTTATAACCCGCAAAGCTAGTCCTGCCCGTTTTCGCCACATAAATAAAGATCCAAACCTCAGGTGTGGTGTATCTGATTAAAAGATCGGGCGAAAAGCAATTATCAACACGTGACAAATTGGGCAAAGGCAAATTCATTAATAATGGGAAACGTGTTTGCCGCTTCTGCACTTCCACCGCCGCCGTATTCGCCACCAAATTCGGTGCCGGATTTAGAGAAGGTAGACCCGTCCAAAGGCATAGATACGCCTGCTAATATTGAAAACCCGGGGACCATTGAGGAGTTGCACAAAAAATGCAAAGGTATTTCACGATAATGTTTGTCACCTGCTCTCTACTCTTTTCCTCTATCTCCTCATGTCTCTTTCTCTCTCTCTTTATTAAATCCTTTATCGAAGAACTTTGCAATCAGTGATATAACGTTTTTATTGCATTTATTTTTTCTTTTCTTTCTCTTTTTTCCTTAACTCTATTGTAAATTGTAAATATTAATCTTTACATTACTTCCTTGTTCATTCAATTATCTGTCTCACTTTTTTTATATAAAGATTTTATTTAGTCCTTTATTTAGTCCATTATTTTAATAATTTATAGCTTTATATGTTATATACTTAATGTTGTCCTTGGAAGGCTTGTTCTAGAAATGAAATAAATGTTTTTTTTTCCTTCTTTTCTTCGTATGCTTTTCTAGGAATTGGTTTTCGTGTTTCTTTTTAATTTATCACAGAAAATTTCTTAGTAGATTATTTATTTGGCAATAAATAAGTCACATGTGACATTATATTTGGATATTAATGATCTGCTTTATTGGTATGCCTTTGTATTGGAATACGAGAGGAAAATTAGGTTAATGTTCCGCAACAATGTATAATGTAAATGCAGGAGGATATAGTTCTTGGAATTCATATTGCTTTGTCATTGTATTGTCAGTTTATATTGTAGTTCACAATAATTGATTACATGTATACTTATCTTGCAGATATATTTCCTATGAATTTTGAGGGTGCCAAGTTGGTAATTAACAAAGGATTGAGCAATCACTTTCATCTTTCCCATACTATTAACCTGAGTTCTGTAGCGCAATCTGGTTACAGGTAAATTAGCATCTACAAAGTTTGTTCTAATGATATTGATGTTTCATAATGTTAATTTATTGCACTATTCACGATGCTAATTTACTGCATCCTTCTAATTTATCTAAATTGTTAGATTTGGTGCTACTTATGTGGGTACAAAGCAGATTTCGCCTACAGAAGCTTATCCCGTGTTACTGGGTGATATTGATCCCAGTGGAAATCTCAATGCTAGTATTCTTCATCAGTTTAGTTCAAGAATGAAAGGAAAATTAGCAGCACAAGTGCAGAGAAACAAATTCACCGCTCTACAATTATCTTCTGATTTTCGTGGCGACACATACACCTGTTCTGCAACGTTAGGCAATCCGGATATTTTAAATAATTCTGGTAAATACACAGAGAAACAAAAAATTATTCATTTCAGTTTTGCTCATTTTAATATTTGTAAACATATTTTCAGGTGTTCTTGTTTTACATTATCTCCAAAGTTTATCTCCTTCACTTGCTATGGGTGTTGAATTTGCATATCAACGTGGAGGTGCTATGGGAGGAGGACAAGTCGGAATATTGTCTCTTGCTGGTAGATATACCCGCGGTAATTCCACATTAAGTGGTGGCATCAGTACGTACTTTTAAATCACTCTTAGAGATGATGATACCATCTCTAGTCATTTTCTCTACATAATTATTCTTCTTATTAGGTACATCTAGTTGCCATCTGTGTTTCCACCAACAAGCTAGTGATCAATTACAGGTAGGCGTGGAGTTAGAAGTCAACGCGCGAATGCAGGAGTCGTCGGCAACTCTTGCCTATCAAGTCGATTTACCAAAAGATTTAGTGTTTAGAGGTATGTACTCATTGATAGTCGTATAGTGATACATAATATATATAAATATAACACAAATATAATGACAAATATGTAGATTCGTTCTTGCATTCGTCGTGAATTTTGATATGATAGTAGTTAATTTTAAAGATCTTCGAAAATTTTTGGATTATTATAACAACACTCGAGATAAGTCAACTTTCCTCACATATTCGAAAGGACTCAGTCTGTTCTCAGTTAGACTTTGATATAAATAAATCTTTGATGTATAAATCGTCCCGAATTCCTGAATACTAATGCTTGATGTTACAAAAATGTTACAGGTAGTATAGATACGAATTGGATGGTAGGAGCGGTTCTTGAAAAGAGATTACATCCGTTACCATTCTCGTTCGCGCTGAGCGGCGTATTCAATCACACTAAACAGCAATTTAGACTGGGTTGCGGTCTAATAATCGGTTAAAACTGATTTTTTAACTGATGATTTGCGAGATGTGTATGCGGAAAAAATCCAGGCCGTTCCACTTTTTGTGCAACCGGACACGGTTACGTAATTAGGGTCCATAAATACTACGTCGATCCTTTTCCGGTCTGAATGATCATCTGACATAGAGTTTGACTTGAAGATGCAATATTGTGTACAGAGGTCGTGCTGATTTGACCAAAAGCTAGAATTCCAGAACTAAGCATTTCTCTCTTTTGCTCTAATATACTGTTCATACTTTTTTCTTATAGCGAATTCGGTAGCTTGCATTAGTGCGCACTGAGTGCGTGTTAAGGCTTGTTTACAATACATTCTTATATTTAAGATCGTGTCTTAAATACATATTTAAAAACATTTTAGCTAATAAAATGATTTGTACATATCATATTATGGTTAAAAATATTTTAGAATTTATTTAAGACAATCTTTAGATATAATAACATACTATGAACAAACCTTAGTGCGCACTCAGTGCGCACTAGTGCAAGCAACCGAATTCGCTATTAGTTTTGACAGACTTCAACCTGTCATGAAATGATTGCACATTCAACTTCATTTTCATGATCTCGAGAATTTTGTACGTCAAATGTCTGTGTGCACAACTGTTACAGCGAGTTGGAACAAAGGCTGTGGATTAAAGTCTTGATTTAGAGGATTAAATCAATCAAGTAGGACATAATCTTATTACTCTTATTTTCTTTACACAATATCTACGATAATTTGTTACTGAGTGACAATATTCCTGTTACTTTCATTTTCCTGATGCTCTTACCACGACAAACATTTAAATGCATTTTTAGTAGAAAAATTAAATTATAAATAACGCAAATGTACGTCTTATTTATACGCATACACAACTGAAGCAAAAGATAAAGGCTGATCATGAAAAAATAATATTCGTTGATCATTTGGGGTACGTGTGTAGTTTACTGCGAATCATGATTCGATGTGACATTCTCCGGAAGTGTTTATGAAACTGAAACACGCGGTATCATATATCTCGTGAGTCGTAAGATGACTGATGGCAATACAAAATTCTACCATTTCTCTTCCCCAAGACATTCTTAACAAACTCAACAGCAGGTAGATGCACGCATATGTTACTTACGTTTCAATAAGACGACGCAAAATTTTATATTTAGTAGAAACAATAAATATAAAGATGTGTAAACTTGGCTTTAAAATTACGGCAGCACGATACTACTATCTTTGCGCGGTTCTACACTATTAAGTGTAAGTGTGAAGGAATAAAGTTATATATTGTTGAACAAATTCTGTGTATGTATGTATGTATGTGTTGTGTATAAGAAAAAAGAAAAATCTTTAAACATTGTTACAAAATGTACTCGGTAGCGCGGATTGCCGCACATAGATATATTTTTTTATTTCTGTATATTTTGTCAGAATTCTTAGCGTGCATTTTCACGCTTCTGACGTCATAAATCAAGATGGCCGCAATGAAGGACTAGAAGCCTTAAAAAAAATAAGGAAGGCGTTAATATATAAAATTCATATAAACCATTATGAATTGCGCGTTACACGTGAGCGGATAATACTCCTTACTGGCGCATACGAAACGTAAAGCTGCCAAAATATCATTTCTTTTTTTAACATATTCCCGCTTTCTCAATTAATCAACGGTCATAAGAAATGCGTAATTAGAAATGGATGTGGCTGGTCGAAAATTTGTAGAAAATTAATCTAATGAATATTAAGTCATTCGCCGAGTATATATACTAGTAAAAGTCATCGCATTATTCGCGATGGAATAGATCGAATTCCTGAGGTCGTGGCGCGCAATCGCAAGTTCGCTTCTCAGAGGAAACAATGAGCAATTAGCGCGAGGATCATTAAAAAGAGCGCGCGGCTATACGCGCGAATGTATACGCATACGATCGTAAACATTCAAACTCGCGAATAAATCGATGTTGGTTCAGCCAAAGGGTATCGAACGCATATCGATACTAATCAATATATTTTTTTAAAAAGCGAGATCTCGAAGTACATACTCGTCTCTGATAATCAAAGGTAAAGAGAGGAGAATTTGCGTAGTAATACACTTCAAATTTTATGATGTGAAGTTTCATTCGAAGTGTTTATACATAGAGTGAATTCGAGTTGTTTTTTACTCCATACACTAAAAAAAAATATTTAGTATTTGCAGCTATAGTCACATGGAGAAATAATCACTAAAAATCATGATCAAGAAAACTATTTTTTTTATTAAATTCTACTATAAAGTTAGTGTTAATAATTTTATATACATGTTACTACTATTGCTTTATTATAGAAAAATATGGTCGGGATCAAGCATAATTATATTATTTTAGTTGGATTTCATCCATTTTTTCCCTCGGTTTAGAGTGAATTTTCCATTTTGAATCGTAGGATGAATTTTCACTATCGCCTTGAGTGAAAATACTGCCCTTCTTACCCCAAGAAGTTCAAAGAGTACATTAACGAATTCACAGTTAATGATTTTATTAATATCGTGCTGTTTGAATAAGCTATATTGAGATTAATTAAGTGGATTTGATTTCGACAGCTATATAGGTGTATATGACAAAGCATCAATTGGAATTCGGAATTAAAAGTCCAACACTTGCACAAGTATACGCAACGCAGGTGATTTGAATGCCTACAGCGCGCGGATGTTGATCGCGCTTATGATGCAAATACAAGCACGTAAAATTGCATATAGAGTTCGCAGATGTATCCGGGAGAAATGGAGTGTGCACGCGATTGAATTCAATCCTCGCGGTAACCTACTTAGCTTCATTTTTCTAATCTAATTTTTTCGAATCCCTGCAACGTAATAGCACCTCAGAATCGAAAAGAATTAATCAATTAAGCGATATCACGTTCAACGTAACATGTCCACTTTTGAACTGTCCACAGATCCAAGGATATTTAAAATCAACAAAAGGCGAACATTAGTCCTTTTTCTTCCGAAACAGGTATGTTATAAATCACACACAATTGGCGAACGGACGAGTAGATGAGTGAATGAACGAATAAGCGATCGATCGCAGGAACGGGCGAATGAATGGACAGGCTTGTCCTTGACAGCCGAGTATCTGTAACCTGGCACTCTCGCTGTGCCGCTTCGTTATGATTCAACTTCGTCTCTCTTGTAAACAAACTTTCCTCCCTTTATGTGTTACAACATAGGTTCCGACTCAACCATACGTGCATTGGTATGCCGGCATAAAATTAATCCTTTATGTACACACATACACATGCACATACAAAACGAAGGAAACTGATCTGTCATCTTAAATTTCAGTTTTATACGGCGTATAGAAGGCTTTGTCCCCTTAAGTGTGCAGAAAAGACAGAAAATTTGATAACATCGGGTAAATTTTTGATGTTACACGCTGCTCACGGATTCTTAATCTTTTCTAAAACAAGAGTGAAGAATATTTTTTATTTTCAAAGAATCTTTTTCGGAGTGAATAGCGTAAGTTGGAATGAAAACAAATAGACCACGTCTGGTTGAATGTCGAACTTTCTCAATACGACAATCTTGATATCTAGAAAACCAGAGAGATTCGAGAGACTTTGCCTTTCTTCTATTTTCTTTAAGTATGTAGAAAATTTCAAGGATCGAAGAGTTAGGAAAAATGCGGGTCATTATAAGAAAAAGAGTCTCTTATTCATAATCAGGTCTTATATTTAAAAACTTTATGGGCCTTTTATAATAAGCTATTAATCATAAGCCATAGGCATGTTGACCAACTACAGTTGATTATTTTTGAAAATAATCAACTATGATTGTTCAATTTGGTTGCGGCTTATGATTAATGGCTTATTGTAGAAGGTCCATTAAATTCATCTTCAGATCCTCCATAGCCAAAATGAAATGATACGTACAGTATCTAAAGATGAACTCAAGACGATTTTAGATATATTTGACTATGAATACCGGTCATAATCTATCTAGTATGCATTTTTCCCAATGGCGTCCACTCAGTTTCGTGTTTTTGTAGAGAAGAGTATCGTGAAAGAGAGTTCGCAGATCCCCCCAAGAAGTCGAACGCGTACATTTCATATACGGTTATGCAAATTCGTCGGTCAGAGGCAAGCCCCTGCGGACACTCGATGTCACGCGCGCTGAACGCAACCGCGAAAACCGCCTTGTCGGGCCAGGATGGGAGGAAGAAGGAGCACGGGGGTTGGTCATTAGCTGACCCCCCTCGCATTGATAAGGGAACCGCGCGTGTTGTGAAAATGCGCGCTGCGCAAGCGCGCATGGCCACGGATGGCTGTAGAAGGTGGTGTAGAAGTATGACGATGATAAAACGTACTGCGACTTTGCCCCTTTGCGCTTTTCCCCCGGTATGATTCGCACAGAGGCCCCACTACCGCCGCCGCGATTCAGGGGGCACGAACCTTCCCTTCCTCCGTCTATCATTTTCCCTCTCTTTCTTTCCCGCGCGCTTCTTCCGTCTCGCTCTGCCGCGGTATGCTCGCTTCCCCCTCTTTATTTATTCTCCTTCATTCTCCTCCGTCTTTGTCTCGCCTTCCTACATTCGCGCCACTAGCTGGACGGGGACTCGCGTTGTTTCTTTCTTTGTCGTCTCTCTCTTTCTCTCTCGCTCACGCGCGCTCTATAAACTCCGTATGTCCTCTATGTACATAATATACACGGACCTCGCTCCCGAACATAGAGCAGCGGCTAATGCGGGTTCTCGTGTAGCCGGCAAAGTCCGCGGTCTTCAATTTTCGTCTAGTCGTCGATCCGCGTGCATCATCGATCAGTCCCCGGCTACCCCGCATGCGCGATTCAACCCCGCGAAAGCAACAGGTTCGTTCGTGTCGCGACACAAACCGCGCCGCCATCTCTCACGTAAGCGCGACAAGTGATCGGTCGTGCGGAACGCCGCGAGACAATCTTCGGGTCGAAGGGGTGTCGACGCGAGGAAGTGAGTGAACAGGACGCGAGTGTGCGGGCTACCACCGGAGGAGTCAGGTTGCACGGGAAGATGAAGAGGAGGAGGAGCGACGACGACGTGAAGCCAGCCACCAAGTACCGGCATCGAGAATACAGTGAGTCTTGCTCTTCTCTTTCTCTCTTCTTTTTTTCTCGCGTTAATCGAGTCGCGCTCTCGAGGGTAACGACGAGTCCACGTCGAGGCGCGACGCGCGTGAAAGACGTCGCCGACCCACACGATCTCGCGGTCGAACGGCCGACAGGCGAGCATTTTGCCGAACGTGTTCGAGATGCGACATCCATCCGAGAGGTGGGTGTTGCGAGGTGCGTGTGACCAAAGCGCTCAACTGGGCCGGTGGTCCGCGAGTTACTGGAGGCCAGGGTCCGCTTGTGGGGGATGTATATATGTTGGATATCAGAGTGATAACGTCGCCCAGAGTCTCGCGATAACGCCGTCGGTGTGTATAACGCGCCACCGGCTGGTACAGCGATGGCCCGCCATGCATGCATTCAGCCTCGTTGTCGCGAATGTCTTCGTTCTCGAGTCGTCGAATTTGAGCGAGAACGAAGTGTCGCGGGAGTTCCTGACAGTCTCGAGCTTCCTCGGGAGTCCCCGACGCGTGCACCACGGTGATAAAAAAATATTCGTGCGGCAAGAACATACGCTGGGAAGAGAATACTTGAAAATTTATTTGCGGGGTATAAAGATTATTTCACAGAAGTAAACTTTATTTTATAAAAATAAACTCTATATTCCACCAATATATTTTCAGATGTTTTTTCTCAGTACAGACGAATGGGAATTGCGTGCATGAGATAATCTGAAAAATTATTAAAATGTTTAGGCCGTGAGTTTAGTACCTGGGAGCTTTCCATACGTTGAAAAATATGAATTCCAATTAAATATAGATTGACTCGATAAATGTCCCATTTCTAAAATTCCAAAAATATATAGCCCGTTTTCGAAAATTTCGAAAATCTATAGTCTATTCTTTTGAGAATCTCGAAATATTTAATTGTACTTGGATGACTACTTTCGTTCTCGCTCTCTTTGATACGCATTTTTAAAGAGACGACGGTTGATAAACGAGAAATGGTACGAGAAGGAAATGAAGCGATAGAAAAAAGAGGGAAATAAATTCGACTTGAAAGTTTCGTTGAGCGAGACGAAATGTTCTGTTGCAATAGTTGCTTACTCATTTGACGTGGTGAGTTAATTAAGTCGTTGGCGACGTTACATAAATGTTTATGTAAAACTTTTAGGTAGGGATGCGCGCGGTCACTTACATTTTATACGCGGAGAGAATTTTATAGCAAGAATTACTACATAGGATTCTGTAGCCGAGGAATAGATCGACATTCTGCAGTAATTCACTGCCCTTTCATTTCATACGTGCTACTTATATATTTTAGGAACCGAAATATGCCATGTGAAAACATTCGTTATATTTTTAGTGAAATTCGCTATATTCTCTGGCAACAAGACCTTACTAACAATCTGGGTTGGTAAAAACATAAGATTGACAAGAAGATTTATATATAAGAGAAAAAACTGTAATGTTCTGTCCGTGTTTAATAACAATTTGATAGATTCTCTTCGTTCGTTTCCCTGATGCTTTGAATGCCGCTTTGTATCTCCTTGGGTCGCCTGTGAAAGTTACTGGCGCCAACATTTTCGGTAACTATGGCGGTAACTACGGAGTCATAGAGATCCGTTCAGCTTTGCTTCACGTTACAAAAGCTTGTAGACTGGCGTCCATTCCTTGGAGCGTTTGAATTTTATCGGCTCGATCGTCAGGGTCGCCATTATTTCTATTTAAACACTTGCTCGCTGCGTCATGTGTCCCCTGAGTCACTTGTAACGCGTGTCATTTTGACGTCTGAAGACGAGTTGCCTCTTTCGCCAGTCGAAGAGCACTACACGTTCTCGATTTGTTACGCAAATTTATTTGCCAGCTCAACGGGGAAAGCGCAAATGATAAGAAGGGAATAAATGATACGTTGTCTGACGAGAGAGAAGAGAACAATCGATAATCGCAATCGTAGTGTTTGTGAAAAGTACCTCTGTACCTATTGGAAGGGAAGATCAAATTCTTCAGTTAGCCCCTACAAAAATATCCGAACTCGCCAACATTTTCAAATAGCATGCACTGTTATTATTTTTTTAACTATGTATTTTATTGTACATCTCTTAAATTGTAATAATTTTTGTGAGATACACTGCCGCGTGTAAGTATACACGTAGACTTCGAAACGATTCGGATATTAACGGATTCCGTACGCCTCGATCGGTCGTCGGTCATCGGGATCTTATGATTCACGTATGCTACCACGCAAATGGACCGTTTGCTTTTAATACCGCGGTATAATGAGACAAACCTCGTACCCCGCTTGTCCTCGAGCTGACAAAACTAACCGGCGCGAACGTCGACGACACTTCCATTGTCTGTCGATTTTTCGTTTGCGTCGATTTTACGAACGCGTTCGCCGCGAATATGAATTGAAATAATTGCTCGTAGACGCGCCGCGTTGTGACGATCATTGCGAATCTTGATGGGCGCGTTCTCGCCGCGATAATAAATATGTAATATGTGTATGAAAAAGAGAGTGTGAGAGAGAGAGAGAGGGGGGGGGGGGGG